TGATGGTGAAAAGATTGACTTAATATAATGCACGACAAATACTTAAAAGATTATACTAATCAATCAACATATCATATTATGCTCTGATCGTTACATTATTCTTCCGGTCAAAGATCTCCTTCAATTAACGTGGACGATGGGACATGGTCTATTTCTCATTTCCACCAATATTGGAACCGTGAACATGGAGAAGATCCTAAACAGAACTACTTTAAGAGTGCGGACGCGCTTGAAAAAAGTCTTCGTGCAATTTTCTTACAAGAGCTTAGATTCCAGAAAAATAGAGAAAGCTAACAAGCTCTTGAGTGATCTTAAGGTTTATGGGTCTGTGAAAAGGTCATAAAGGTTGTCAAAGTATTATATGTTAGTTTTATATACAAGATGCAAATATTGCCAAACGATGAAGCTGTAGTAGAAAAGTAGCTATGGCGATTCGTTAAAGTTATTATAGTTATTGTAACTTATATTTGTTAAATTTATTAGTGTTTTTTTTTATATAAACATATATATATTTGAACCGTGTTTATTATCAAATAAAACATCTTTAAATTATAAACTCGAATCATTTTTATTTAATAATAATCGTAATGTTCTGTAGAAATTGAATTAACAAAATTGCAAGGTTTGATGTTACGCCCAGATCTAATATTAGACAATTAAACTTTAAAAATGTACAAGTTTTCCATTATGAACCACGTTCTGCAAAGAGAAATAAGTTCAAAAATTAATCTTGTCGCTTAAATTGAATGTCCAAAATCAAAGAAACTTTCCTTAAATAGAAATATGTTTTAAGCAGAGTTGAACACAAATATCATGAATTTGCTGTTGAATTCGATTTTATTAGCCTTAGTAGATGATTGTGATGTAAGTTCGGCAAGATCAAGTAAAGGTAATGCGGCTTATTACTTTCCATTTAATGAATTAACTAAACGAATAATAAAACAAATTTGTTAATTGTTTATGTTATAATGAAAGAATTAAAGTTAATAACTTATTTGAAACCTACCATCATTTGGTAACATATAACTTGTAATTCATTTTCAAATATTCCCTTACTTATTTAATAAATCTATACTTTTTGTGATTGCCAACTGTAAGTCCCGCATCTTCACAAAATATGTTCTTCTATAGGAACAAATTAACCTAACTAGGTTTTATTTTAAAAAAAATTAAAATAAAAAATGAGAATGAATTTTTTAAAATTTTTATGCATAATTAAAAAAATATTAATATAACCAATCCTTTGTTCCGCATGAAAATTTACCTCTAATCTTAGGTCTCTTCCTACTTCCTTCTGTTCTCATGTCATAACTACTGAAAAAATGTTTAATTGCTCGTTGTCAACAGACAAGAGAAAGATTCTTTATAAAGTATTGGTAAAATTAATTATAGTTGGTGGATACTGATATTTATAATTTGGTCACGCACGCATGTTTAAAGCGTTTCGAAGTGAAGGTATCGGAATGCTAGCATAATAGATTAACATTTGACACTATCAATATTACTTAGAATAAAATCAGTAATTTCAAACAAATAAAAAAAAATTTGTTCTACCGTGATAGATGAACTATTGTGACTTCAATTTCGACTATTAAGTAGCCAATCTCCGGAAATGCCAATATCTTCACTATCTGAACATGTAAATTGAATTACGTGGAGGTGGGTTTCTCACCGGAATTTTTCGGGGCTTCGTCGGTCAATACAATGAAGCTATCCAAGCGGCTGGTGACACTGATGACAAATGTTGATGACGGAATCGGATTCAGCACCGAGAAATATTGGGGTAAAATTAACATTGTAAAATTTTCCTTATAAGAAAGTCAAATAATTGATAATGATGTGTAAGTGAAAAAAATGTCGCCATCTAATCCCTATGATAAAAATAGCAACCTTAATACATTATAATGAAAATAAAGAGAAATATAAATATATTTTTTATTTACCATTCGGTGTTTCAATACTTCCACATGTAAAACTTAAAGTTCCAATGCTATCTGATCCAATGATAACACCAGCATCTATCGCAACAAATCTCAAACTGAATCTAGCACATTGCAACAACAATTATTTTCCCCTTAAAAATCCATCGCCTAAATTTCTCATGCAGGATTTCTCAGATTCTTTTGAATATACATGTATGTATTTCATGAACTATGTAGTACAACTACTGATAGGTAAATGTTTTAACGATCCGGTAGATATGCAGTATTTAAATAGAAATATTATATCATCTTCGAAGTTGTAATAAATCAATTGAATAAACTTACCAATTTAGCGAAATTGTTAATAACGCCATTCATTACAACTATGCTTGTACAGTTGATAGTTTCAAACATCCATTTCCGTGATTTCATTCATGCTAAACATCGATGAGTCATCCAAGACCTCTGACTCGTACAATGAATTGAAAGCATTTTCCAGACCTAGCTTTCTTTCATCACGATACATTAATGATACAAATGAAGCTACCCAAGCGGTTGATGACATTAAAATAACAGAGGTCGATGACAAGGAATCGGATTCAGCACCGAGAAATAATGAGGTAAATACTAAAATTATATAAGGAACTAAACATCATCCGAAAATTTAATTAATAAATCAATCAGATTGAATTTCAAAACTTACTATCACGCTAAATTGGATTGTAAATTCCAATAACATAACGTTTTAAATTTCTCCATGTATAATAATATGTTAATGAAATGATACCATCTAACCCTATGACAAAAGAACAGCGTTAATACATTGTAATGTAGATAAAAGAAAATATAAATATATTTTAAATTTTACCATTCGAAGTTCTGATACTTTCGATTGAAAACTTAAATTCCAATGCTATCTGATCCAATAATTACAGCATTATTGCCACCACAGTTAATATAAAACCCCTTAGCATCCATTGAAATTTCTAATGCAGGAATTCTCAACAAATTTTAGGTTTTCTTAAACATAATGTACTGTGTAGTTTATTCAGAAAAATTTCATGTAGTACAGCAACCAAAAGGTGAATATTTTGACGATCCGGTGGATAAAGCGGGATCTGCATATATCATCTTCAGGATAATTGTAAAAAATCAATTGAATCTACTAACCAATTATAATAATTAACATCAGCTTTAAATAATGCAACTACGCTTATCCAGTAGAGTAATTTCAACAATCCATTTCCGTGATTTTATCCATGCTAAACATTTATGAGTCCTCCAAGACCTATAATTCGTATCATAAAATGGAAAACATTTTCCAGACCTTTATCTTTTCTTCATCACGATCATCTTCTTGATGAATTTCATTAAACTTGATTAATTTAATACCTCGTTCAGATAATGTATCTATTAACCTACCCTCTTAAATAACATTTGATTCTGTAGTTAACATATTCCAAAAGTAATCACATGATGAACGCCAGAATCTCCAGTATCATAAGCTTATGCATCTGAAATAATTCGATAAAGAAAAAATTTTTTGGAGGTTCTGAAAAAAATTTTTTACAATTCTTTGAAAGTTCAGCATCATCCTTATGTAAAAGCCATTTTGATAATGATTCGTGAAGAAGTTCAGGAAATATGGT